AAACTGCACTTTTCCTCCTCCGGCTGGCCAAAGTTCTTGGAAGCGATTAGGTAGCACTCGAATCGCTCCATGAAACCTTCCCAGGTTTCACCAGCCGATCCGAAGAGTGCAAATGGAGGAAGCGCTGATGCCATGGTGGCCAGTGTTTGATGAAATATAGCAACGGAGCGGAGAGAGAAAAAGAAAAGAAAATTCTTTCCCAGCGTTCGCATGCCGGCGGGAGATCGCGGCTTGTGCGGCTGGCTAATGTTCTTCCCTCGCTCGCTGTCCTAGGCTCTTCAGGAATCGCTGAATCCCATCCTCGTCGCCAGTTTAGAAGATTGGGCGGATGGAAGACACAGGAGCCGTAGGATTACTAAAAGCAGGAACTTTATTCGTAACAGTGGTGACAGCGATTTAAAACGGCAATGATCGCGCCAAGGTATTTATACTTAGCAATGTAACAATATTCCAACCAATCAGGGGCCGAGTACTGTTCAGCAACTGCTGACGCAGTACCTCGGCCAATCAGGAACAGTAGCTGGTTAGCAACAGGCTATGCTGCATCCCAACCAATCAGGGCGCAGCATAGGCTGTTGCTGGCCTTTTAATAATATCCAGGATATTTAACACCTCAGATAAGCTGTCCTCCCTGATCTCCCCTTCTTCTGAAGCTGGAGAATGATTGCGCTCTGGGCGCTGAGGCGAATGTTCCGCCCTCATGTCGGGAACAAGGGTATCGTGTGCGTGCACCTGAGTAGTGGTGGAGGTGGTGGTGGCACCTGCTACTACAACCCAGCCGCAATCTCCTGATTAATTGCCTCTGCAATGAATGACTGGTAGTCCAGAGGCATGGCCTGGGCCGGGTACTCTCGACGAAGGCCTGCAGCTGTGGGCGTAAATGTGGCTTCTGCATGTCTGCTAGGCAGGTGAGGGTCCATAGAGGGAGGTAGCACTGATTGCCCCAGATCCCTGAGGTATTAATAGACAGCATTGGACTAAATGGGCCAGGCCCAGAATCCAACTGCGAGGGGGGGTTGCGGCCTAAGATGGTAGTAGGGGAATGAGAATGAGGCCCACTCTTGGCCTGGGGTGGGGGCCTCCTTGTCTGCTGATTTGGGAGTCTTTTTTTATTTGGAACCCTTGCTGGAGGATTTAGAGTCCTTAGAGCCTTTATCTTGAGGCTTATTTGCACTGCTGCTTTGGGATGAGGCAGGCAAGGCCAATGGAATGTGGCCCCCAGCCACTGACAGCAAACCTCCTTGGGTGCTCCCTGACATGTCAGACTGGCTTGATGCTGTGCTATCTGCCATTTGAGGGACCGTTGGTATTCAAAATGGCGGCCGTGCCAATTTTCCTATTCAAAATGGTGCTTGTGTCAAAATTCTCCTCCTTGCAAATGGCCACCGGCTCTCTTTCTGGGCTTTTGAGGCCTCCCTCAGCCTATTGTGGCCACTCACGTTTCAAATCTCCCTCTGCGGGCCTCGCAGGAATCAAAGGCAACTGCCAGGATCAAAGGCAATGTGTGAGACCCTTTTGTCTCTGTGTGAGGCCCTTTTGTCTCTCTGCAGCGTCAGCATGCCGTTCTTTGACAGCGCAGCTGTTCCGATCCCTAATTATCTTGGAGAGGTCATGTAAAGGCCGGCAAGGCTCTCCCAACAGCAATCAGCCTTTCACAATAGGTGAGAGGGGAGGCGTTTGAATTGGCTGGTTGTCAGCGCGTGATCCTTCCTCCCCCTTTTCACACCTGTGGCTCGAGGCTAGCAGAAACCTCAATGAGCCTGTCTCTCCAATAGCCCCAAGTCTCTGTTATTCTGTTACTCACTTTTCCTGTTAAAAACAATTTTGCCAATGAAGAAGATCAGATACTGGATAACACCACTGTCCAGAGTGGACTGAGTCGAAAGAATGGGTGGAGTCACTCACAGAGACGGGTTATATATGCGGCTAATTAATTATTAATCAGACTCAGTCCAATAGGAGAACGGACAGGGTTAACCCATAAGTGGATGTTATCTCCAGCTCTATTAAGAAGGACCTAGATCAAAACATGAAACAGGCTTTAATACCCCCCCCCCCCTCAATGCTGTTCTCTTTTCCATTGGCTGGATACTAACAAGCTCACAACCTATCTGAATCACTTATTAACAAACATTCCTGATAGATTCCCTGAAGGAATGGGGCAGGAGGCTCCTTTTAAAGGATCGAGGCAGGAACAACGCAAGAGCCAGGACTTCACAACAAGAACAGTTTATTGAAGAAAACAGGAGCTGACAACGAGTCAAAAGTAATAATTCCGCGCCAAGGTATTTATACTAGCTTAGTTAAACAGGGGAACCAATGGGAGGCCTGGTAGNCAGTTTTCCCCATTGGAGTACGGAATGATCGCTCTTTTTGAGCGGTTGTGTGGAAAAGGAATTTCTTGAATATCCTCTACTATTCCCTTCTTATTCTTGTGTTCATATTCAAATGCCCCCCATATGATTAAAAGTACAATTCCCATCCCCAACATCATTGCAAAAAGATGCAACAGGAAATGCTTACAAGACATCGGAAGAGCCCAATAATCCCAAAACCCCATTTCCTGTCCAGGCAACCGTCCTCTGAAAAAGGGACACCGTGGTTGTCGTGCTCTTGGGACATAAGAACGGCCAATGACTTGTTCCGGACGGATTTTCATTTTTAATACTAGATGTCAAAAGAGGGATCAATAGATTCTTCGTGATAATTGTTAGAAAAAGGATTGTCAATAGCTTGTTGTACTGTGGGTGTGATACGAAGGTCAGTAGTGATGAGGGATGGATCGGTATAGTTAAAATATTGTTCAAAGAACTGTTCAATTATCACAATGTCACACGGGATTTTGCACTGAGTACAAAGCTCACAGAGAGGACAGTGGGAGCAGCAACAGGCTTCGCAGGAACAGGAGCAAAACCAGCACATTGGTCGCAATAGCAATTTTAGTCGTCTGTTGCTTGAAACAAAAGGGACAGGCTTGCTTCGGGATCCTTTTTATCATCTGTTTTTACCGGTCTCTCATGAAACGGTCGTATGCATCTGCCTGGCACCCACAAAACCTTGTCCGGGAGCTGGACAGCAGCGTAACCATGTCCCCAGGTAACGAGCTCCATGGGGCCTCTCCACTGAGGGTCCGGCAATTGTCTGTAATAAACAAGAGGGCGGGGAGAAACTACGCTATTCTGAAAATGCCTTTCGGCAGCTGTGGAGGCTATAGGTGAGCCTGTAAGATTTAAAAAATTCTGAGTATACAAGGCTTTACTCAGGCGGTTTTGGATTTCAGGCAGCCCTATCTTAAAGGGGACTTGCTGCTTATCAAGCATCATTTTTAGTGTTAAATTTGCTCTTTCCACAATTCCTTGTCCTTGGGAATTGTAAGGGATTCCAAATTTATGGACAATTTTCCATTGATCACAGAAGGTAGCAAATGCAGCACTACTATACACAGCCCCATTGTCTGTTTTAATTTCCAAGGGACTTCCTAAAATTGAAAAAGAACGCATACAGTGGTTGATCACTTGTTTGGTTGCTTCTCCTCTCTGTGGGGTTGCAAAAATAAATCCTGAAAAGGTATCCACCGTAACGTGAATATATTTCCAGGGTGCAAAAAGGAGGGTACTGAGTGACATCCATCTGCCATATTTCACAGCGTTTAATTCCTCGGGGGTTAACTCCCATAGGAATTGCGGTACCTTGCCTGCTACAGGTTGAGCACTGCTGGATAATTGCGGCAGCCTCTGTTTTTGAAATTTTATACATNATCTACCACAATCAGGAATGTCTGGCCATGGAAGGGGCCGGCAAAATCTATGTGGAGGCGGGACCACGGGCCTCTCGGAGCCTCCCACTCTCGAGAAGGTCCGGCTGGGAGGTTAGGCCGGGAGAGCTGGCAAGTACTGCAGCGACCTACGTAGGCCGCAATCTCTGAGTCCAGCAAAGGCCACCAGACATAGCTGCGGGCTAACGCCTTCATCCACGCTATGCTGAGGTGGTCTTTGTGGAGCAGAGGCAGGACCTGGGTCCGCAACACCACAGGGATCACTACCCGATCCCCCCAAATGAGGCAGCCGCCGTGAAGGGACAGTTCCGCTTGCCGGGCTTTAAACAGCCGGAAGCAGTCGGCTACCTTCCCCAAGGGCCATCCCCTTAAAACCCATGAGCAGACTTGGGCCAGGATTGGATCGGCCTTAGTATGGGCCGCGACGTCCACGGCTGAGAAGGGCAGGCTGGAGGAAGCAATCAAAAGGATGGAGAGGGCGGCCACCGGGGTCGGGTCATCCTCCGGCAGGAGGCAACAACTAAGGACATCAGCATGCCCTAGCTGCTTGCCAGGACGGTAGAGCAGCGTATAGGAATATGCTGCGAGGAACTCCGTCCAGCGCATCATCCTGGGAGAGAGGATGGGGGGGGTCTGCTTGTCGCCTGCCAAAAGCCCAAGGAAAGGCTTATGGTCAGTGACAAGAGTAAAGTGCCGATCATACAAATAGTCGTGAAACTTTTTAACCCTGGACACTGCAGCCAGAGCCTCCTTGTCTATCTGGCTGTAGTTTCGCTCCACTGAGGAGAGTGTCCGGCAGTAAAAAGCCATGGGGGCCTCTGAGCCATTTGGGAGGACATGGCTCAGAACCGCCCCCAGACCGTAGGGGGAGGCGTCACAGGCTAACGTCAGCGGCAGTTTGTCGCTATACTGTACTAAGACAGCCGCTGACGTAAGCGTGTCTTTGACAGCCGCGAACGCATGCGCTTTGCAGCTGCCCCAGTGCCAGCCCCCGGATCGGTCAAGCAACCAATGCAGCGGCTCGACTAGTGACAACTTATGCGGCACGAATGGCGCATAAAAATTCAAAAGCCCCAGGAACACCTGCAGCTCCGCCTTGGAGGAGGGAGTGGGGGCATTCCTGATGGCTGACACCTTTGCAGGTGTAGGGTCTATTCCTTGGCCGTCAATCAAGAAACCCAAGAACTCCACCCTAGGGACAGCAAACGAGCATTTGCTGCATTTGAGTTTTAAACCCGAGCCCCTAAAACGAAGGAGGACCTTCCTAAGGATTTCAATGAGTTCTGAGCGGCTGGAAGCAGCGATCAGAACGTCATCGAAATACGGAACCACGCCAGGGAGCCCATGGAGCAGCCATTCCATGAGGCTCTGGAAGATCCCCGGGGCCACGGAAACATCAAATTGGATATGGCAGCAACGAAAAGCCCCACGATGGGTGATGATGGTCTGGGCGGCCACCACATCGTCATCCACTGGGAGCTGTTGGTAGGCCTGTGCCATATCCAGTTTTGCAAATGTGCAGCCCCGCCCCAGGGAATGGAGCAG